ATATTATACACACGTGAAAGATATGTTTGCGTAATCAACATCTTAAAATAACTCATCGCGTGTGACATAATTAAATCCACACAGGATAACCTTGAGTTTTCACTGCCAGAACAAACACAAAGGTATTCATCTCTGTTTTATCAAAGAGATTGAACGGGATGACTATAACATTGTGTTGCCACTTGAATTATACGGCAAAGTTTAATTTCAAACGGGAAATGTCTGTGTAAAATAATATTTATGAACACTTTAGTGTAAAAATTAGTTCGCTTGATATTTTGTAGCGTTCGCGAAAGATTTCTTTGAAACGTATTAATCTTTCTTGTAATTTTTTAAGTGATTAATTTTTTGCTTACAGTTTAATGATAATCAGGAATTTCGCGGCGCTTTTTATCATCAGTTAACTCTAAAAATATTACGTTAATTTCGTTCAAACACATTACATATTTAGATATAAGAATCTAATTCTTGTGCTGTAAAATGAAGGGGAATGACGAAGATGGAAACGGTCGAATATTCGCGATATTATTTTCGCGAATATGATGTGTTGGTGAGCGTCGGTGGCTCAGTGGTCAAGCACTTGACTTGCAATCTACAGGTCCTGGGTTCGAATCCCGCCATGTACCAATGTGTTTTTCGATTTCCGATTTACAAATGTACATTTATCCGACGTTCTTACGGTGAAGGAAAACATCGTGATGCAACCTGCACATATCTGAGAAGAAATTCAAATATATGTGTGAAGTCAACCAACCCGCACTTGGCCAGCGTGGTTGACAATGTCCTAGTCACCTCTAACTTAGGGCAGGCTCCAAGCCCCTCGGTGGGGACATGTAGTGAGCAGATGATGATGATGATGTGTTGGTGACAACAAAAATCTAATTTTCTAATATTTTTGTCCGTCTGTCTGTCCATATATTTGCGTTTATTCCAGGTAATCTGCAAAATGGCTAGGCTGATTTTGACTAGACTTTAACGAGACTGATACACGCGGGCATATTATAGGCTATATTTTATGATTCCGTACCTTGAAAGGAAAAAACGGAACCCTTATAGGACCACTTTGTTGTCCGTCCGTTTGTCTGTCAAGAATCTTTTTTAAATGCTGTCAAGGCGAAGTTCATGTTTTTTTTTAATAAAAATTATATCAGTGGAATTCTACAGTTAAAGTTGTAAAGACATTTATCATGTGAACTTATTTATTACCCTTGTTTTGTAATACAATTTATCCTCCAGACTGTTTGTCTGTTCGCACAATCTAGAACAGAGTCGATATCAGTTGTTATTCGTCACCAATGGAGTCAGGGTTTATCTGTAATCAGGAAACGTATGTTATCTTATTAAATTCAAGTTTAATTAATCTCTATTCACGTCACTGTATATGTTTTTATAACTTTTTAATTTAGAATCAAATGAAATAAATAATTCTCTTCAAGTGTATTGATTTGTTGTCTCCATTTTAGCAAGGATAGTGAAAAGGATGTCTAATATGTTTTGTGAATTTTGAAAGTGAAAACGCATTATCAAAACATTAATGCGGAAATAATTGTGAATTGAAACTTCATTTACTAAGAACTAGACAAAATACATAAATGTTATACTTACAGTGGGTTTCTAATCCAAAATCTCCGTTTAAAACATGCACATTTTTATGTCTATTTTGCCAAAGGTACTGTCAGGTATGACGATATGTTTTATACAGATATTGATGTTTCAGATTTAGGTCTCAGAAACCCACGGTAAATCATACAAATCAACCTAAAACTAAAACAGAAATAAGTAGAACGTGATAAAAAATCAATTGCGTTTCTTCGAAACGTGTATGCATTCGTTTTTTAGAACGTCGCCCCAAAAAAACGGTTTTTACAACAAAAGAAAATGTCCTCATCGTGAAATTAATACAGCTTCGTATTTATTTAACACGGTCATTTTTTATTTTGATAAATAATTTGATCACGTAAAAGAAAATTAAAAGCTTTTAAAATTAACTGGAACTTTGATGTATACAGGTCACTTATTTATTTACTTTTATTTTTATATAAAAGAAAACGTACATAAAATAAAATAAAAAATAGAAACCTAGTCTATGACTGCACTCGAATATACATGAGTTAGGTTGTTTTTTATTTGTTTAAAGAAATGTCGTGACTCTTACTAATATTAAAAATGCGAATGTTTAGATGGATGTTTGTTCAAAGGTATCTCCGGAACGGTTTTACAGATCTTGATGTTATTTGGCACATATGTAGAAGATAGTCTGGAAGAACACATAGGCTACTCAATTGAATACTTGAGTACTTGTGTAAATATTTTCATTGAAAAATATTTGTTATTTTTTTATATTATTTTTCATATAAAAATGGTAATTGTTTTCTTGGAACATTAAACATATTAGTCGTATGTTAGGCAAAAGTCTAGATTGGCAAAAGCATTGGCAACGAATGCTTGGCCCAACTCCATATTAAGATAGAAGATATCTCGAGTCACAAATCGATTGCGTGGCTGCTTTTAATCATATTTAACTTTGAATATAAACTATTATAATAATCTATAGCTAACGGTTTAACTGTTTTACCGTGGGTTTCTGATAACAAAATCCAGGTTTAAAATCTCTTGTTATCTCTGTCTTGTCAAAGATAATCTCAGAAACCAACGATTAGTCGTCTATTGGTTCATCGTATATCAAATGTTTTATCCTACTTACAATATTGTTCTTTTGTTTTGAGGATATTATGTATAGTTTGTCTGTATGTCTATTCCAATTTTATCATCTGTAGTCTAAAGGTATGTCGATTTTGGCGACTAAGGATTATATTTAATTTGGCAAATTCGGCTCTTGGTCTGTACTATTTTTTCACATATTCCTTGTCATAATCAACTCACTATACGTCCCCACCAAGGGGCTCGTAGCCTACCCTAAGTAAAGTGCGGGTTGGTTGACTTCACACATATCTTTGAATTTCTTCTCAGATATGTGCAAGTTGCATCACGATGTTTTCCTTCACCGTAAGAACGTCGGATAAATGTACATATGTAAATCGGAAATCGAAAAACACATTGGTACATGGCGGGATTCGAACCCAGGACCTGCAGATTGCAAGTCAAGTGCTTGACCACTGGGCCACCGACGCTCTCAATTTACGTATGCGTAAAGTTAATTCTTTACTATATCATTTATTCAACTAGTGTATTGATTGCATATATCGGAACACAATATAACTAATGTTACCATATCGGCATAGATTAATAAGGAATATCCGCAACTAAGCCTCATCGATGTTATCACATCCTGCTTCAAAGCTCACGTCCTAACAGGAAGCTGTAACTACAATGTAACTAGCTGTCGCCCGCGATTTCGTCCGCGCGGAATTATAAAAACAAAACAAGTAGCCTATGTGTTCTTCCAGACTATGTTCTATATGTGTGCCAAATTTCATTGAGATCTGTTCAGCCGTTCTGGAGATATCATCAAACAAACATCAATCCATCCTTCTAAATATTCGCATTTATAATATTAGTAATAAATAATAGTAAATAAAGAACAGGATGTTCAAACTTTCATCACATTTCCGTTATTTAATTTACTAAGAAATTTTCCACGATCTTGAACAAATCTATTAATAAATTTGAAAGGCCTTGAATTTGATCAAAACATTTATAAATCTGCATAAAAATAAACGAGTAAGTCTTTATTATGTATATTCTATTACTCTAAATTATTCATAGCATTTTAGTAAATTTAATAAAAATACAGATGTAAAATCATTATGAAGGATATAAATTGTTTATTCAAGTTTATTTTTATACCACGTCTATTGATTTCCACATTTATTATTTTAGTTAACAATAGTTTTTTTTAAATAAAATATTAGCAGATTTTTTTTGTAAATTTACTAATATTTCTTTTACCATTCCAACTAAGCTCTAGGCTTGTGTTAGGATATGGTTTACGACAATAGTCTAATGGCGGGATTCGAACCCCCAACCTCGTGATAGGAAATCCGTACCCTTAACCATTAGGCTATTAACGCTTAAAAGTTAAGAAGTTAGATTCCTACATAATTTTCAAAGGTATATAAAAATTGAAATATATTAAATTCTTTTTATTATATTATACATACATCTAAAATAGTATTACTAGTATACTAGTAAATTATCTACACAATCATTTCTTACCGGTTTCTGAGACCAAAATATCTGTATACATATCGTCATCCCTGTCATTATCTTTAACAAAACAGAGATAACAATATGTTTTAAATAGAGATTTTGGTCTACAAACCTACAGTTATTCGTCAAACGCCCATTTATACTGTTTTTGTTTCGTAGTAAATTTTATGACTGTCATTTCGTGATGGTGGACAATAAAATATCGATCATGCGACATTGAGGTGCGTTAGAAATATTACTTAATACACGGAATTACGTAGATTGTAAACATAACAATTTTATAAAACAACGACAACGACACAAAACAACGACATTAACCTTTGGTTTATGAGACCTATATGTCTGTATAAAATCGTCATTCCTGTAATTATTGTTAGGAAGAAAATTCAACACTGTGCTGATGCACTGGCGCAGCACTAGCCCTATTAAATGTCGACGTTTATGCCCCCTCACTATATCTATCTAGCACTTGACTTTGTAACGAAAGCGCGCCATTCGCGCCAAATTATTCTAACTAATAATGTCTATAATTATCTTAGAAAAGATATAACAAGAAGTTTCAAACGGAGATATTGGTCTAAGAACCCACAGGTAACACACTGTCGCGAAAGCGAAACTGATCCGATACTAATCTAGATTTGATTTGAACCCACTGAATGTGATTTATTCCAGCACATTTTACCAGTTAATCTCACAGTGCGAAACGTAATCTAATGAACAAACTTTGCTTTATATTTTAGCTTTCATTACGCTTCGATTCCAATTCGCTTTCGCAGCTGTGTGTCACATACTTTAAATTATAACTAACATGTATATTTCTATCTTTACAGACAAGTTTTATCCCATATAAGAAACATACCAGAACTAATTCTATTGGGCACAGAATCACCCACAGTGAAGAGGCTGCCAATATTCTCTCTGATGGTGAAACATCCACGTGGTACATTCCTACATCATAACTTTGTGTGTGCTGTGTTGAATGATGTATTCGGTATCCAAGCTAGAGGGGGATTAACCAGCAATTTGAACTATGGCGCTGATGTACTCGGTATTGATGACCAGTTGCTCAAGGAATATGAGAAATTATTGGATGTGGAAGCGTAAGTATTTAAAAAATCAAATAAGAAACACAGAAAAATCATGGTGGTCTTGGCTGTATGCTCTTTGTTTCCTTTTTATAACATCAAAATTAAAAATAAATAATAGCCTAATAAACAAATCGAAATAAAATTAATTATATTACAGCAATCTTTAACGAGAACTCAGAACAAGACATTTATAATTGCCTTGTATCGATTGTAAAATAAAATATAATATATTCAAATTAATCGGTACGGTTGTTAACCGGTTCCCGTTTCATTTCTTCATAATTTACGAAATGTACTTCCTCAATCACTTTGTTACGAATTTGTATCTCAAGTTAATTATTCCCTCAGTAATATAACAGTTTATAACCATCGTTATGGTAAATATAATAAAAAAAAAATGTTTTAATCAAAATTTTACTTACGTTTGGTTACTGAGACTTGGTATCTGAAAAAAAAGTTCTTCTTTTCTTTCATCTTTGAATACACAGTGATACGAAGATTTTAGTCTCAGAAACCACGGTTAGTATTATAGATAAAATTCATATGATTAACAACAATTTACGAATTGACCCGACTCGCCCGGTGAAATACCACGACCACACAGAAGACAGGCCCGAAGTGGAAGCAATTCCACGGTTCGTCTGATGAGTGTGCATCCCGGAGGCTTAATTTAGTCCGCTTTCCCTTCACACCCTTTTTCTTATAAGGAAAGGGTGGGAAGTGGAAGTGGTCTTTCCAGATGAGAGGATGCATGGGAAGGGGAAATATTTTCTTTCTGTGCATCCTCTCCTCCGTCGATTAAAGGTAGGCAACGCATATGCAATTGCGAATATCTATGGACAACGGTCACTTCGCTATTTCAGCGATTTCAGGTGGCCGCTCGCTCGTTTGCCACCTTATGATTTAAAAAAAATCAAATTTAGTATTAAAGCTTTACGTTTGCGCAAAGTCAAAATTGGCCAACAATACTTTCTATTTAAAGTAACACCTCATACGAACTCAATTGCGTGGAACTATTTAATAGCCGCATGGTAAAACAAATCAGTCCCACTTGAGCTATTGCCAGTGGCATTCGAAGGTCGCTTTTAATGTTTACATAATTAAGTATGGTTAGCAATATTATGTATTAACTAACTTCCTTTGTATAAAACTAATCAAAGGATCGGAGCAGTGTCAGCACTTGCAAACTCCTTATTTCACATTGTATAATCTTACTAGCTGTTGCCCGCGACTCTTTCTGCGTGATATTTAAAAAAAATAGAAGTAGGCTATGTGTTCTTCCACACTATGTACCACATCTATGCCAAATTTCAGCTAGATGTATTCAGCCGTTCCGGAGATACGTTTAAACAAACATTAATATCTTCTAAATTTTAAACTCTGAGTTCTTTCATTGCAGTCAAAAGGAAGTAGCAAGAGTTCGCAAATTAAGTGACGCCAAAGCTCCTGATGTGCCAATCCACAATGAACATCTTAGACCAGGATTCTGCAGAATATCCCTACCCTACTTCATGTCAGATACAGAACTAGCATTTGTGCTAGAAGCTCTCAAAATGGTTGCCACAGAAGGCTGGAAGATTCTGCCACAGTACGTTGTCAACACAGAAACAGGGCAGTGGAGACATCACACGTGCTCTGTTCTAAGAGACAGAAAGTCTTTGTATTCTTTAAGGTACAACGATGGACAAATCACAGCCCACGAACGAAGAGTGTCTGGTAAATATAATTAAGTCTATGTTACATTACAATAAAGCTAAATAGTCATGTAATCATGTCCTCTTCCAGGTCCGGGTATATTCCCACAAACATACACCGAATGTCTTCAAACAGCAAGAAATCTGTTCAATAGAGCGAGAAAACTAGCAATGAAATGTTCAAGTATAGAACCTGAAGTCACTTTCAATCCAAGAATTGATTATTTACGTTGGTTCATGTTGCCTAAAGAAGCACATGATCTACTTCTTGGTCGTTCCGCCAACGTCAAACATATTGTACCTTTCGATCCATCAGGTTACACAGGAGCTAGGAAGAGTTTGAATTTTTCCAGATCTTCTGTCACTTCCTCGCCGATTTTCGGAGCATCTTCAAGACATTTCAGTCTCTCGGCTATTGACGATTGTCAAATATTCCGATTGAAACAAAAACAAAAATTCTACTCCCGAGAATCAAGTCTGAAAGAGACGACTAAGGAACAAGCCGTCACTGTTGTAAATCCCGTAAAGTTCGCTTTAGGAGAATCCGTCTCACCTTTCCGAATCGTTCCACAATCTGCTAAGCCTATGTTGGGTAGGTCTAGATGCTACAGCTTAGGTTCGGATAGTCCACCAGTACAATTAAGCGCGGAGACTAAAATGAATTTAGGCTTAAAAGAAACGAGTCCGAGCAGTGAAGTGAAAACAAATGGATTCTGTAATTGCGGCAGTCAAACAGACCTCCAGTCCTTGGATGACCCGATGATCTCACCCGGAAAGGCGTACCCATACAGTGCTCAAAGCAGCACTTCTATATCCGACTGTAGTCAAACAGGCAGGGTATCTCCCACTACATCAATAACGTCCCATACATCTGAAGACATCCAGGCTTATGTGAAAGAAATGACAAGAGAACTGGCTACAGAAATCAAATCGGAAATAAGAGGTGTTATTTCCAAAGTTGACGATATACTAGAAAATTCGGATTCTCTTGATCAATCCAATGTGAGCCTTAACTCGACATCTAGTCAGAGCGAAAAGAATTCAGTGTCAGTGATTGATGTGGCGGAATATCTCATGGGTATGTCAAGAGAAATGGCATCAGAGGTTAAACATGAGATTCGTGAAATGGTCAACCAAGTTGACGAGATGATTTCTCCTGACTACGGCTCTTGTTCAAGACGTAGTTCTCCACCGCAAACGGGCAGAAGAAGAATAGGATCAGGTCCTGAACTTGGCTTGGACTTAAAGAAGTCTACACAATGTTTGAGGAAGTGTACCACCAGTCCGGTTCTACCTTGTCACGCGGATGAGGACGAAAATAATTTCGGGAAAGGTTCACCGAATGTCCAATCTCCAAAATCCGGGCAAGGCACTCCTTCCCACGAAACGACTGGACCTAATAATATTTCGTTTAACTCCAGTGAAACATCTACTCCGGACACGATCATTCAAGTGGTGACGACATCTCATAATTCTCCGGTTCTTCCTAAATCGTCTAGTTCTAACAAGCTATCAGATGACGAGGTGTGTGCTGATGCGGCGTGCAGACATTGCTGCAGCAAGAAGATCTGCTGCCAGAATCCCTCCGTCAGCTCACAAGATAGTGGCATTAATATGACATTCACTGAAAGCGATGCTTACTTAGAATTTGGTAAGTCTGTTCTTGACGTGTTTATTTTATTTTGTACTTACTAGTTGACTTTAAATTGTTCTTTATAGCAATAAATAATTGTCTAGAAATGAACTTATAACCTCAAATCAACATCAGATTGCTCATACTCTGTTAAATTGCATTAATAAAAGTGTTCATATAATGATTTCGTGCAAGATAACAATGGCGCCTACACATCTAGTTATATCCCGCTCGTGTCCAGATTTAGCAGAGTTTTATTGTCTATTATAAAACTTTTATTTGCTCGTTAAAGTTAAACAAACATAAAGTTCTATTATAGTGTGTCTATTTAAGATAGATTAGTTTGATAACTGACGCCTATCTCTCTCTCTCCCTAGCTTGCATCCAACAAGGTGGTGGGGTCAGCTTTCCCAATCCGTCTCTTCCACTTAGCTCTGTCCATGACATCTTCTTCTGAGACTTGGCACTCACTCATGTCTTTTATCACATCTTTCCATCTCGTTTTGGGTCTGCCTGTAAAATATAGAATTAATTTTGTATGAGGATTAATGATGTACTTCTTTGATGGTTGTCATACTGTAGAACCGTATGCTCATTATGAACAACTATGAACTATCGAGAATCGGTCTTCTAATAATATTATTCGGACAAGTAAATACTATAACTTATTTATTTTATTACTTGTTGAATTTATAACAGATATTTGGTTATATCTCGTGCTATTAACTAAAAAGAAATTTTAAAAACAGTTCTTTTTGTTTATCAACATCTGATATTTTTGGTTTGAGATTTTATTTTTCTAGATTTGAAAAATAGAGATGATATAAAAAGAAACAATTTTAGTTACGTTGTAACTCAAAAATATCAGGAAATTTTCGATTGCAAGTTCCATGTGAACAAGCATCGAAAATCGAAAATGTTTAAAATCGATTTTAATCCAACCCAAGCCTAGTGAATTGACAAACTAATCTATCTAAAATAAACACACACGGATATTATACAAGCTTATTCAATTAGTATGATATATTTTTAATCTACCCACAATAATACAGCATATTTTAAAATTAAATAATTGCATATAATTTTTATCTTAGTAAAATGGCGGACATCATCAGATCCGACAACAAATAAATTAAAGAAGTTGCAAGGCAGATTAAGAATATGTAAGCACGAAAAGAGCGAAGTCCCGGACATTATAGAGGGTGTTCCGGTGTGTTCCGGGGATAGCAGAGTTGAGAAGAGTGACTCTGCCTCCGGGAGAGTCGCCTTCCAGATATCTGATGATGCTGAGACACAGAATGTGTAAGTATACAGTCATTCAGTCATTCATTCGTTCTATACTTCGTTCAATCTTTTTATAAATTATACAAACATTCATTCAGTTAGTGAATATGTACCGTTATTTCTATTAACTCGATATTATTTCAATTGCAATTTATTACATGGATGGATGATGGATTTAGATGGATGTATGTTTGAAGGTTTCACCAGAACAGTTGAACGGATCTCGATGAAATTTGGCATACATATAGAATATAGTCTAGAAGAAAGCATAGGCTACTTATTATGTTTTTTTTTTAATTCCGCGCAGACGGAGACGCGGGTAACAGCTACTGCTGACATAACTGTATAAAAAATTTATTAATCTAAATTCTTAGTAACGTTTCGAACAATTACCAGTAGTAGAATTCTAGGATTTTTCCAGAACAACATCATCGGATTGGAAACGATCGAGCAGATGTTCGAACGCGTCCTCCAGCTGCTCAGAGCGCAGCTCCAGGTCTAGTGGGTACGGCACCGACCAGCACAGGACCTCGCATGATTACGTCTGCTTTGATAGGAGGTGAGATACAGATGTAAATTTGCTTTGCAATAGTGGCCCTTAAAGTCATGTAACATAGGAAATAATTTAGCATATCCTTCAATCTCTAAAAAACAAATCGATTTGTATTGTCTCTACAGTTATGATAAACAAACAGGACGTTCCAAATTTTAAGTCCTTTGTTAAATTTATATTAACACCGCCATCTTTATTGTGTTGATAAGATTTGATACTTGTGATATTCGAAAGATGGCGCTGATATATTATCCGATCATTAGTATTGAAATTATGATAGTAAAAAGGAGTTTTTAGATATTTTGGTGGCGTTAAAATTTCTAAAGCTGCACAGACCACAATGCTAGGCGTAACCGGAGGTGGAGTTTGGCGCAACACGCACATGACCTTGAGCCGCTAAGATATTTGAAAAGAACTATACTTAGAGTGTAAGGTTTATAAATATTTATGTTTAGTGAGTCAGAGTGCGTGCACAAGTCGTGCTGGGAGGAGGAGCGCGATGACAGCAGCGCGTGCAGCGACGCCTCCCTCACAGACTTCACCACGGATGATGAGGGCAAGTGGCACTGCCCTCCTAAACATGTCTGGAAGGCCACTGTTGAGGTAAGCTTCAAACAGGATGTTCTAAATTTCACGTAAAAATAAAGTTAGTAGCTACAGGGTGTTTACTAGTTATACTTTTTAGGCTAGTGTAATGGTAAAAGTGAGTTCGGTAAGAGAAATTTACAGCTCTTTTATAGTTGGTTTCTGAGACCATCTTTTTCTTTATAAGGTGCAAATTAATATGATATTTTAGTAAGGTGGTGTAATGAAGTGTTTTGTCTTTGCAGGCTATTCACGAGCACAAGATGGTGCGTGCGGGAGACAAAGTGCTGGTGTGTCTGTCAGGAGGACGCGACTCTGTGGCGCTGCTGCACGCCATGCACCACTACCAGTACTACGCACGCTCCAAAGGTCAACACTTCAGTATAGGTCAGTTAAACTACATTTACACTGAACGATAGTACGCGCGACTATCTATTGCAGGAACTGCCGTGGAATATGTTAATTAGTCATAGAAAAGAGACAAGTGTATAAGTTGCTCTAGTGGAAAAAGGGTCTAAGTCTAACAAAACACAATACATAGCTGCTATACGTAAAAGGGTACGAAGGGAAATGTATGTATGTATGGATGTATGTATTTCAGGAGCACTGTTCGTGCACGAGCCGCAGTCAGACGTGGACCCGCTGCACTTGATGGCCTACTGCAGGACATTGGGAGTCAAATTCATATATGAAGATAAACTGGATGACGATGAGTCCAGTAAGTTTATTAAACAGTCATTTTTTTGTATAACCGTATTGAATATTGACAAACCACATTTAAATATCTTTTTACAAATTACAAAGTAATAAAAAAATATCGTCTTAAATTTTTAAAGTAGTTGTAGTGTATTAATGCCTTTAACTTCGAGCAAGTTGTTGCATAAATGACCTTGAGCTGGCAATACATTTGAATAGAACTATATTTTTTATTAGTCAGACAATATCATACAAAACATAGAAATTTATGTAATACTATCTGTCGCCCGCGACTCCGTCCGTGCGGGATTAATAATAGATGTTGGTTGATTCTCAGAGCTACTCAATATGCTCACAAAATTTCATGAGAATCGGTCAAGCCGTTTCTGAGGTGTATGAGAACGAGAATTGTGACACGAGAATTTTATATATAAGATAGTAATGTAATCCAGCAGGTAACAGTAAATCGGAGCTGCACAGATGGGCGAGTCCTGCAGTACGACGTCGCGTGTACGTAGCTGCGCAGGCGCACGGGTACAGTGTGGCCGCGCTCGCGCAGTCGCTCGACACCGCCGCCGCAGCGTTCCTCGCCTCCGCACTCTACGCTGCCAAACTCACCACCACCAAGGCACATTACAGGCTCCGGTCAGTGCTTACAACCTTAAGAATATTAACAATATAAGTTTTACAATAATTATTATTACTAATTATTACCCTAAACTCCATTCGTGCGGAATTAAAAATAATCTTAATAAGTAGTCTATGTGTCGTTTCAGTACTATATTCTATGCATATCTAGGCCAAATTTCATCAAAATCCGTTGAGCAGTTCTGGAGATACCTTCTAACAAACATCCATACATCTAAACCTTCACATTTATATTACTAAGATAACTAAGAATAGGACCGTCTTAACTGCATTATCTGGTAGAACTTTCAAAATGTATCGACCATTTTTAATAATAGGAATAATTATTGAAGAGATTAGAATCCCAACCAGGTTTTTTTTTTCTATTCGATAAGACTTAATTTTATCTTTATTGTTACAGAGATCAAGATTTACGTGTAATACGTCCGTTCATCTACGTGCGCGCGCACTCGCTGGAGGCGTTCGCGTGCGCACGCGCATTGCCCGACTTCACCGCGCACCCCGCACACCCCGCGCACTCCGCACACCCCGCGCACCCCGCGCACCCCGCACACCCCGCGCACCCCGTGCTCGCAGCGCCCCCCACACAGCATACAGACAAGGCCAGGTACATTTTGCAGTACTACATTTGAATGTTCCTTTTGTATTCTAACGAGGTATTAGTGTAATATAAAATAGATTTATGTATAATGGTTGGTTTCTGAGACCAATATCTCAGTAAATCTCTCTTTAATTCTTTAGATAATTTTTGAGTATCACAGGGTGTGAATGAGATGTGAGACTATTTTTTTTCATTATATTTTTTTTTGTTTCAGCAAATCCCCCGAGCAGTGTGAGTGTGAGTGTGAGAGAGAGCCGCTGAGCGCAGCGCGCGAGCTGCTGGCGGGCCACGAGCGCCGACACCCGCACCTCTTCTCCAGCCTCAAGACTGCTCTGCTCCCGCTCATTGCTGCCAGGTCTGTTATATCATTAAATCCCCCGAGCAGTGTGAGTGTGAGTGTGAGAGAGAGCCGCTGAGCGCAGCGCGCGACCTGCTGGGCCTATCTGTCATTGGCAGAAATTTCACAATTCACTGTTTTTGTGTAATTTAAGTATATTTAGCTCCAACTAAAAGTTCCCGACCGAGTTTCTCTAATGGAAGTCGCTCATAAAGATTTCTTGATTTTCCATATTCAATAATAAAGTATTAATTTGACCACAGGAATGTAGACAGAGAGAGTGCAGAGCGCAGACATAGGAAGAAGTCAGTCATACAGATGAGGAATGGCGCGCCTGTTGTTGACTCCGATGACGGCTCGGAAGAGGAACCAGTGCCATAGACCACTGACAACTGTCAAAACTCCCGCCAAAACTCACGTCAGTTAACGCTGATGTGGTTAGTTCTGTCAGAACTTATGTATTGGTAACCCTGATTTCTATAAATAGACAGGCTATAAACCGTTGTTTTTGTTTATATTTGATTCTCAACATTTTGTAGCAGTGGTGAGGATTAAACTAATAATAAAGATAAAATTTAATGTCAGCAACTTCAACATGTATTTAAGTCGGAATTCGTTCCGTGAAAGCTGTCATTTCCAAGCAATGATAAGCAACAAGGTTATCTGGCCCAGGGAGAGGTTATCGTGGTTATTTTTGTCGGAAAAAATACACCGGCGTAAAAGAAAAAAACTAAGACATGACAACTACAGTACGGTCATAGTTATGTGACACTTTTTGACATTGACTGAGGGGCGCTAGTGTGCTGTCATAATTTAGTATGTCTTTTGTCCACCGGGTCAGACAACTATATTCTATATGAAACGCATATTTCGTATAATACAATTACTATTTTTGCTTGTTTAAGTGAGCATGATTGTTTTTCTTTAGTTTTTTTTTTTTTTTTTTTTTTT